TGTGTTGAATGCGTTTGAGGCATCAATCAGAAGTACGGCATCTGTCTCATCTGCTTCAAATATGGAGTGCATCGCATGAATGGCTGCCTCACTTCCGCTCTTAAGACCTGCGCACACCTGTAGCGATCCACTGGCATCGATCACGTCGGGCTTAATCACTTTCATAACACATTTCCGGACAATCCTCCTGATAACTTCCCCGACGCCAATTGGACGAACCGCGCCCTCGCCTTTGTCATGAGGTATAAGCCTGTTGGCTAATATAGGCTCGATAGTTCTCGGGTCAATGTATTCCGTACATAGCCGCCGGGTCATTGTTGCCACTGCCTCACACAATTTACGCCTGATTTCTTAAACGATTTACATGCGAAAATACGCTTGAATCCATTTGCATCCACTCCTGAAGGGCCGCAGGAGCCCTTGGTTCACAATGCTCTCTCGCGTATCATTTCGCCATCGATCTGCTGATATAACGAATCGTGCACTTCCTCATATAATAATAATAATAATAATAATTTTTTATTATTATTATTATTATTATTATTATTATTATTATTATTATTATTATTATTATTATTATTATTATTATTATTATTGATAATCATACAACTTTATTCATCATTTCATTATATACAATAATTCTTTTGTTATCAATGACTATATTAAATAATCTGTTTTTTGGGTATAATTAAAAAAGTGTCTAAATGTTTGTTGATATCTACAGTTAAATTTTAAAAACAAACTCTGGAACATATACCGCTACATAATTAAAATATTTACCGCTAAATAGCTAAATAACTAAACTAAGATATTCCTCTAAATAACTAAACAACTAAACTTTGTATATGTACAGTCTAAAATGTTTGAGAGATAGCACTCTCGGCGTTCTCAATGTTGAAATCAATGTTCCTAATATCATACATGATTTTCCTTGTCCTTGAACCCCTCAAGCAGGTAAGTGCCGATCTCAATAAAGCGAATGAGGTTCTGGCTCTTATCCAACTCATAGTTGTCGCATAATCTTCGCCTTTCTTCATGGCTACCAACTCTGCCAATCGACTATGGTATATCACACATTCTTTGCCCATACCGCCTGTGGTGGTGAATACCAGTGGCGTAAATGTTCCTTGCTCTATTTCGAGGACTCTCCTTGCATATAGGCGCTTCCTCTCGTTTTCGTGTATCTTGTAGACTTGGCGTAGCTCCAGATCCTTGTACGAATCAGCATTGGGATGACAAACCCTTACATCAAAAAAGGCTGATCGTTGACTTTCCCAGAACCCACGGGCACGAATGTCGAATAATAATAATAATAATAATAATAATAATAATGAAAACTTTATTAAATGGATATTTAGCTTATATATACAATTGCAAATCTCACTTATATCATAATCTACATGATTATATATGCAAAAATTATACTATTAAGATAACAAAATGACAGTACAACGTTTAAACAGTTAACAGTTCCGGATTCATCTATTCCTTGTTTCGACAACAAAATATATAATACGTTGTTCGGATTGCAATCGTCGTTATTCTTCTAATACAGTAATTCTGATGTTGCTTTTGAAAACCAAAATCATTAAGCATTTCTATGAAAGTAGAACATTCTTTACTGAAAACACCAAGAGAACTAATCGAAAGATTTACAAATTTTACTGAGTTGAAATGTTCATTTTGTTCCCTAATTAATTCTTTATATTTTGATTTTTTACGCTCAACGTTTTTTTGAAGATTTGATTCGAAGCCAACTGTAAATTCAACAATATAGAGTGTTCCGGTTGAGGTTGAAAGAAGCAAATCTGGACGGTAGATGTCACCAGTGATGATTGATGGACTTTTGTACCCTGGAAGATCCACGTAAAGATGTGACCCCCTTACGGTCTGCAGGCTTGTTGCGAGAAAGTTTAGAACGGAGTCATGTCTCCACGTGAATCTTCTAGATACGATTGGCAACCAGCTACTACGTGCAGAAGTGTTTCAGGAGCTAGACATCGCGAACAGTCTGAAGTCGGTGATAAACCCCATCTTGCAAGGTTTGGTGCGTTGGAAGGGAGTTATTGATGTATCGAACTGTAAAGTTGAATACATTTTTCGGAAGGTTCGATTGGCACGCAGACAAATTTTAGTGAGTTGGGACAGTGAGAACTTTGTTATATTAGTGAAGAAAGAGCCTTGACAGGTTAATTGAGTATGCAGTTTATCCTCTTGTCCAGAGCGAAAGTCCTTAAGAGCTTGCTTAGTGGAGTTATAAACGTCATACTGAATATATTTGCTGTTGCTAGTTGCTTTCCAAAGATCGTTAATTGCTTCGTTTGGGGATGTTTTTAGGGCTTTACGGAGAACAGTTTGACATTGAATAAATTTGACAGATGGGGGACAAATACTGAAGCCAAACTTGTTGCGGGTTAGGAAAACAGTGCTTAACGTTCCAGATATAGGTATATCAAGCCATTTACGGATATAACTGTTGACTTTGGAATAATAATAATAATAATAATAATAATAATAATAATAATAATGGAAACTTTATTAAATGTTTTTCTTTACATACATATGCAATCGTAAATCTCTCTCATAAAGGTAACTTACGGTTGGCTATTTGAATCACAATTATACTAAACTAAAATAACAGAACAAAGTGCATGCAATATAGATATATATACAATGAGATAAGTCAAATTGTTAGTAAATCCGGATTTTCCCATTCCTTATTTCGGCAACAAAAAATGTAATATGTAGTTCTAATAGCAATAGTCATCATTTTCCTAACGCTGTACATTTGGTGGTTTTTGTCAAGACCAATACTATCTAACATGTCTAAAAATGTATAACATTCTTCTGCAAAAATACCTAAAGAGCTGATGGAGAGATTTATAAATTTAACTTGGTTAAAATTTTTACCTAGCTGTCTCAATAATTCTCTATATTTATCCTTCTTCCGTTTTACGTTGTTTTTGAGGTTTGTTTCATAACCAGTGGTGAGTTCAACCACATATAAGGAACCATTTGAGCACGATAATAACAAATCTGGGCGATAGGTATCACCAGTAAGTGTTGAAGGGCTTTTGAATCCATTTAGATCAGCGTAGAGAGTAGAACCGTCAACAGGTAAAACAATAACCGGATTAAAGAACGAAGACTATGATAATATGGTCGCCATTGAAGAATTTCAACAATACCAAAGGCGTATTGTCTGGAAATTACAGGTATACCTACATTACCCAACGACAAGTCGAAAAATATTGTTATGGAACTTGGAGCAACCTTAGGCGTTTTACTGAACGAAAATGACATATCTACGGCGCATAGACTTCCCCCCCACGAGAAAAATTCAAGACCGTATTATTGTCAAGTTCGTACGCCGCGACATACGAGAAGAAATTTATAAGAAGAGGAAAGTTTTAAATAGAAAACTGACAGATTGCCTGCCCTCAGTAAACGCAGAAATAGGGAAGAGTATCTCTCAACCCACAAAAATATTCATTATTGAATCTTTGACGGCTTACAGAAAGCGTCTCTTTGGAAAAATCCACGATTATCGTAGACAGCATAACTATAAATTTATATGGACTGCAAACGGGAAAATTCTCCTTCGCCAAACAGGATCGTCGCCAGTTAACAGCTTTACAACAGAAGAAGAGTTTCAGAGGTTTACTTCCAAGGACTAAACAGTAATTCGTGATTATTTTTAGACACAAACTGTTTATGAAGCGATGGATGAACAAGAGTGTGAGTTACCTATCAGATACTGAATTTAATGCTCTCACTGCATGGTAATTGGCACGTTGTCTTTAGCAGTGATTCTGATATATAATGTCCTACAAAATCCAGACAAATTTAATGAAAATGATTCAGACCTTATGTTAAATACCCCTAATTCAAATTATTCCTCTATGACTTAACTTAACCAGCATTTAAATAAAAAATAACAAAAATAAAAAATAACAACCCGCACACCCGATTACCTATATATATACATGAACTTACGGTTACAGCTCAACAGCTGGCCTCTGTAGCTCAGTTGGTTAGAGCGCTGCACCGGAATCGCAGAGCCGTAGATTCAATTCTTACCAGAGGACCTTGTGCTGCATTTTTCGCAGTCGTTCCTGGTTAGGTCTTAAAATGTGTATATTCTCACTTGGATTACAATCCCTAACATTCTAATATTAATTCCACCAAGTGAAGTGCAAGAATCCATCATTGAAGTCTACCTTATCACAACCCGCACACACGATTACCTATATATACATGAACTTACGGTTACAGCTCAACAGCTGGCCTCTGTAGCTCAGTCGGTTAGAGCGCTGCACCGGAATCGCAGAGCCGTAGGTTCAAATCCTACCAGAGGACCTTGTGCTGCATTTTTCGCAGTCATTCCTGGTTAGGTCTTAAAATGTATATATTCTCACTTGGATTACAAACCCTAACATTCTAATATTAATTCCACCAAGTGAATGGCAAGAATCCATCATTGAAGTCTACCTTATCACAACCCGCACACCCGATGACCTATATATACATGAACTTACGGTTACAGCTCAACAGCTGTCCTCTGTAGCTCAGTTGGTTGGAGCGCTGCACCGGAATCGCAGGGATGCAGGTTCAATTCCTACCAGAGGACCTTGTGCTGCATTTTTCGCAGTCGTTCCTGGTTAGGTCTTAAAATGTATATATTCTCACTTGGACTACAAACCCTAACATTCTAATATTTTAGAAATAACTGAGAACCTGAAAACTTCCATTGATAATAATCTTATCGAAATATTACTCACTCACTATCTTGTTTGACTCATATTTTGGGTTGCAAGATGCTTATCTTCGGATTATGTTTTGTATTATAATAATCTTATTACATGCAATTTCATTGACTTTTCTAAAGCTTTCGATACGGTCAACCATGAAATATTATTAGCTAAATTATTTAAATATGGAATACGTGATCATTCACTTGAATGGTTTAACAGTTACTTAATTAACAAATAGACTTCAATTTGTACAAATAGATAACGTACAATCTAGCACTTTAACAATGACATGTGGTGTTCCTCAAGGATCTACATTGGGGCCTTTATTATTTTTAATTTATATTAATGATATAGTTAATTGTTCGTCAATACTTTCTTTTCGTCTATTTGCTGATGATACGAACATATTTTATGTAAATAAAGACCCCACTGAACTTGAAATAGTAATCAATCGTGAGCTAAAAAACTTCTATGACTACTGTGCTCTCTACTAATTATCTATTAATATGAACAAGACCAATTTTAAGGTGATAACTTCAAGTAACAAAAAGCACATTAATATCAACTTTCCTAATATCGAGCACAAAAACTGTATTAAGTATCTTGGTATATATCTCGATGAACATCTCAATTGGAAAAGGCAAATTGCTCATGTTAATAGTAAATTAGCCAAAAATATTGGCATTTTTTATAAATTACGTCATTTATCTAACATTTACATATTAAGGCAACTTTACTTTAACCTTATTTACCCTTATTTAACTTATGGGGTTATGAGCTGGGGTAGCGCGTATACAACCAATTTAACCAAGATTCGTACTAAACAAAATAAATGTATACGTAATATTTTCTTCGCAAATCATATGGAGTCAGCAACTACTTACTATAAATTTCTTGGAATACTCAATTTTGACAATATTATGAAATTTAAAATTGCTACATTTGCAAAAAAACTGTCAAGTGATTCATCGAAATTTCCATACATATTTCATGATTACCTTATACCAATATCTTATATTCACATCTATAATACTAAACTGTCTGCCAGTGGCAATTTCTATCGGCCAAAAGTAAGAACTAATTATGGTCAATCCACCATCAAATTTATTATCTCGAAGCTGTGGAATTGTATTCCACCTTACTTAAAACATTTAAATATTGAAGCCTTTGAAATACAGTACAAACAGTCCCTCCTATCGTGCCTGATATAGTCTTAACCTACTTGTCAAATTATGAATTAGAAGCTAAATATTGATATGTTTACTTTGCCATAACGATCTTCTACATTCTATTATATTCCATGTAAAATTATTAACATGCAGTAGCCAACTCGAAAGCTCACGCTACTTTGGCTACTGCGCACATCCAATCTAGGTTTATGATAACATCGATATCATTATGTAATAATTCTTAAGTTCTATAATTTCAACAGATAACATGTAAATACTAAAATATTATGTGCATAATAAATCTTTCTTTCTTTCTTTCATTGCAGCAACGACTAAATTGCACGGTAAAATATTTACATATTTGAATAACAGCAAAACTGATATAACCGATAATCGTGGCTGCTATCTCCCTGCATGGGCGCCCGAGCGAATTTAAAGTGGGGAAACATTCTCCTTATTTTTAGCTCTCCGAAGTATTTATGCACTTCACTTGAATACAATATGCATGCTAATCTGTGGCATTTTATTCTCCTGCTGTGTTCTGAACAATGCCAATATAGTAGTACCCTACTAGTCATTTTAAATGTTTTTTGCAATCATAAAAGAATGGTGTGTATTTTACTGGCATAAGTACTTTGAATTTTTCAAATAACGGAGAAATCGTGTTGGGCGACACATTTTTGCAATTATAGATTTTTTTATCTTTTGTATATTGGAATATTTTTATGATATAAACACAGTCAGGAAAATTTGAATGTAGGTCTTCGGAAGGACAAAACAAATATACAGGGTGTATAAAAAAAAACTGAACAGATTTGAAATTGCTGTCAATTTCGCAAAACACCTATTTGTATCTGTTTTTTTTACATATATAGCTTCTTTGGGTACTTATAATGTAAAATAATGAAAAAAATTTCTCGAACCCAAATTTTGTGAACCAGGGGGGGTGTCTTTTCCAACAAAATAAAAATGGCTCGCGCACAAAATTTAAAAGCTGTAATCATAGTTTGAGTTGATAGATTGAAAATTTGTCGGGTTTTTAATTACTGTACAAAATTTCAGACAATTTGGTTTAGTTTAAGCCCTTTAACTATTCATTTTGTTCTAAAAAGTCAGCCTTTCGCATGCTTAATTAATGCCTTTACCTAATTTGCATATTGCTGACATATGCAAATTAAGCAAATGCATTAATTAAGCATGCAAATAGCTGATTTTTCGGGAAAATTGTAACTTTGCGTGAATAGTTAAGGGGCTTAAACTAAACCAAATTGTCTGAAATTTTGTACAGTAATTAAAATCCCGACAAATTGTCCATCTATTAACTCAAAATATGATTGCAGCTTTTAAATTTTGTGCGCCAGCCATTTTTAGTTTCTTCGAAAAGACACCCCCCCCCCCCCGATTCAAAAATCTACATTATAAGTACCAAAGAGGCTATATATATAAAAAACGGATACAAATAGCTGTTTTGCGAAATTGAGAGCAATTTTAAATCTGTTCAGTTTTTTTTATACACCCTGTATAAAGCGCACTGTTTCTAAAAAAGATGATCTTTCTATTCTGCATAAGCAGATATAGTGGGAACCTTGAAATATCAAAGGGTGCTTACCTTTTTCATCTAGTACAAAATATAAGTTTTTTTTAAACTTTCTTGTTGGAATTGTGGCTTTCACATCTTGATATAGTTCAGTTGTTGGAGAGATTTTTAGGGCTTTTGAGCTGCTGTTTTACTTTAGATAAATGGACCTATTCCCTAATGAACGAAATTTTGATATAGACAAGTTTAGACAGAAATTCCATGACAGCTTGAAAGAGCATCACAAAATTAGTAGTATTCCGAAGTTTCGTTGCAAAATGTTGTAAAATGCGGATAATTTAGCCCTGCGAAATTTGCCGTTTTTCAGTCATTTTGTATTACACACGAGAAAGCGGTATCAATTTCCCGTGCGTAATACAAAATGACTGAAAAACGGCAAACTTCGCAGGGCTATTATCCGCATTTTACCATATTTCGCAACAAAACTTCAGAATACTACTAATTTTATGATGCTCTTTCAAGCTGTCATGAAATGTTTGTCTAGACTAGTCTAGGTCAAAATTTTGTTTATTAGGGAATAGGTCCATTGGCAACTGTCGGGATGATGTTTAGGTGGAATGATGATGCGTTCTGTCTGCGTGATTAAATTATGAAACGCAGCATCAAACTCTTCTTATTTGTGCATCATTTACATTTACAGCAATCGTTGATCTACAAATAAAACTGAATGGTTCAGGTAACAATATCAGTGGACGAGTGGAGATCTTCAATCCAAACTTCGGTTGGGGTACAGTCTGTGATGATTACTGGGATATTACCGACAGTAATGTTGTCTGCCGTCAGCTTGGTTTCACTGGAGCGAAGACGGAAAGAAAACAAGCTTATTATGGTGAAGGAAGTGGTCATATCTTGCTTGATGATGTTGGATGCAATGGTAATGAATCATACATTTGGGATTGCCCTCATCGTGGATGGAATAAAACCAACTGTAGACATTCGGAAGATGCAGGTGTGGATTGTTTGTGCAAGAAAGGTTACACTTTTGATGGAGCGAGATGTGTTGGTATGTATTATCCTCCTATGTACCTAGCATTTAAAAAACATAGGCAAATGTATGTCTATCACCGCACGAATGTCATAATTAATATTATTTATTTCATCATGATTTCATTAATTTCTGGTGAATCAGACGTTCCCGTTTCACAAGATGTTCACTTCATGACGTTTGGAAAATACTTTATTTCTAATACACATCATTTCCAATATTGGAACTAAATCAGAATTATTATCCTCGTTCAGTTTTTCTACTGACAATGTAGACAAACTTGTGCGGCTGGGCTTAACAAATTAGGGGGATAGCCTCTCCGATGTTCACCTACTGTGGGGTGCTGAAAAAGGAATGTTTTCATTAATCTATTCGAAATCAATTTATTACAAAAATTGTCATTGTGTATAGTGAATGGTGAATAACACTTAAGGAAGCAATGACGGTAATATTGCTCAATATACACAACAGTGAAACTCAACCTATTCGATGTTGGTTCACTTTGTAATACCATCACGAACTAGTCCTGCCCGAGGGACGAGACAAACTCCATCTATGTTTACGTGAGTCCATTTCCCTGACGAAAATTTCCTATAGGAAAATTCCTATAAGAATTTGGGACAAAATTCCAATAGGAATTTTTCCTATAGGAATTCATATAGGAATTCCTATAGGACAAATTTCTATAGGAATGGACCATTTGCATTATAGACTAAATTTTGGTCTAGACAAAAATTTCATCACAGCTTCAAAGAGTATCACAAAATTAGTAATATTCCAAAGTTTCGCTGCGAAATGTTGTAAAATGCGGATAATATAGCCTTGCGAAGTTTGCCTTTTTTTCAGTCATTTTGTATTACGCACGGGAAATTGACAGCCCAATCGGGTGTTGGAATATCAATTTCTCGTTTGTTGTGCAAAATGACTGAATATTGTAAATTTCGCAAGGCTATATTATTCGCATTTTACAACATTTTGCAACGAAACTTTGGAATATTACTAATTTTGTGATGCTCTTTCAAGCTGTAATGAAATTTTTGTCTTGACCAAAATTTAGTCTATAATGCAAATGGCCATTCCTAGTCCCAAATTATTATAGGAATTCCTTTAAGAAAATAATTTATTCTAATTTCCTATAAGATTTTGGGTATTCCTGCAGAAATTATAGGATCTATAGACTACCTCCTCCGCAGGCCATGCAGCCCGTAATGAGTATGCCCGTTCGCAGGTTTAAATTTGAAATTTGAGACGAAGGCTTCCGTTGCTGTTGTCCGTTCGTTTCCCACCAATTTTATTTTTTTGAAAGGCCTGCGGACGAGGTAGATCTATAGATGAAATAGTAAATGACCAAGGGTGGGTTGACTACAAAATTTTTGTAGTTCGCTATAACTACAGCTACTTCAAAAATATGTAGTCAGCTACAACTATTGCTACTTTTGAACAAAGGTAGTTCGCTACTGACTACAGCTACAGCTTAAAAAATGTAGCGAAGTATTTCGCTACGCTATATTTTTAGTGTTACTGTATTTGGAGCATCTACTAACTCAGGCTGAAATGTAACCTAAAACAAATCGACTTATGAGTAGCAACAGTAAACACAAAGCAACATTTTTGTAAGCACTACAGTGTTCAAGAGTATTGACTATTGAGTATTGATTTTAAGCAAACTGTGTCTCAATATCATTCTATTCTATCAAGTTGCTAACAATTTTAGAAAGTAGCGAATAGCGATTCACTGTTTGAAAAGTAGTCAACTACTTGGCTACTTTTAGGCAAAATGTAGTTCGCTATAACTACAGCTACTGTTTTAAAAAAGTAGTCAAAAACTACTGGCTACTTGAAAATTGTAGTTCGCTACAGTAGCGAACTACAACTACTTCGCTACAACCCACCCTTGTAAATGACACACAAGGTTGTTCACCACTCTTAATTTTTTAATGCAAAAAAATAGATATAAATATTAAGAAATACTAATTAATATTGCAAATATAAATAACAATATGAGAAATTGGTTGTACTAAACATTACAAATCAATTATAGTTTTCACCTATTGTGCGAAATTAATCGTTCTACCTCGATGCAATTACAATGCCATATGATGGATCTTACTTTGTTATTTTACTCTGTCTAACTTTGACACTTTTACTTTGCTTACACTTTTAATTTACTTACACCAGACACTTTTACTTTGTCTAATGCCAGACTATTTTACTCTGTCTAACTGCTGGCTCTGAATGGGTTAACTAGCCTATCTTCCTATATATGTGTCTAGTTAATCCATTGAATTGCATTGCGCCCTTAGTAACCCCTCGCCAATATTTTCCAAACATTAAATTAACATGAAGTATTGAGAAATGACCAACACTGAACGCAGGCTCGCGCTCAAGTGTTGCCATGACAACACGATATTCTTAAGTTTCTAATTTTTTTCATATTTTTCCTACAAAAACTGCAAAATATTTGAAAAATTTGTACTTTTAACTATACAACAATAAATTTCCGAAATGTATACTGTGTTTATATATTTCATTTTGCATTTTGTGAGCTTTGATTTAATGTAAATTTTAACTTGAAACGCTTCGTAAAACGTTTTGAAATGTTCATTCGACTAAACTACATTTTGCCGATAAACTGTTTTTTACTTAACAAAACATAACAAGTTATAAGTTAAATACAAATAAAACAAATTGTTAGGTAATTTTAGTTCAGTCATCAAATCAATTTGTTGGCCTTTACATTTTAAGATTTTTTCCCAAATTAAACGGTAATTTATACAACTTAGAGCTTCGTCGAAAAGGAAAACAGTTCGAAAATTCGTAAACATTAAATATCCAAAGAAAACTTTGCCGTATATTTCACGATTTCCCATAGTAAATAAATTCTTCTCATTTCTTCAAACAAAATTGCTTCAAGCTTGTTGTATATGAAACGATTTTCCAAATATATGTCTTTTAAAATTGAAATCTTGCTTATCCTCCCACTCCTACAAGCAATCAGCCATATTTTTGAGATCAGTGAGGATGACCACCCACTCAACATCGTTGGCGAGCGCACGCGATCATTGATGAACTTTAGACTTCGCTAATGCTCTCTAATGCTTTCGTTTCCCCGCGTGTAAATAGCCGGGGGGAATTAATACCCTCGCACGGCGCTTCGAGCCGTTGGCTCGGGGATGATCTGGTGTTTATAGGTAATATATATCAAGGTAAAATAAAAAAGTGCTGAAAGTTGATCACATTCATCTTAACGAGTTAGAATGAAATGTAAGTAGAGAGTCTGGTTAATTTGAATACCATCACATAGTTATGTTTAATAGAAAAACATGGATAGTTTTCCTGGCATTACACTTATAAGGCTAACAGATTTTAATACATTGACTGGGGCAAGACCTTTCACAATGAAATATCAATTTTAATTTAAACAATAACATATGAATAAATATCAGAATCTCAGGGAGGTTGCTGCTGATTGGAGCAAGTAGTTAAATTTTCAATAGGCATGCTTTAATGGCTGCCAATTAATCTGGCATATACAGTCAACTTGGCACTTGGCAAATAGGCTACAAATATATTAAACAATAAAGACGGATAAGTCTAATTCAAATATAAAACTTTTATAGTAGCTATAGTGTTGAAGTATAAATGCTATAAATATATTTATATCAGCGTTCTAATTCCATTTCTATTGTCGCGGCAAATTCAAATTTTAAACCGAACCACATGCTCGAATTTCACAAATAAAGATTGGTGGTTTTCCCTTTATAATTTGCTTTATTATAAACAATTTATACTTATATATAAATATATATAAACTTATTCTCACTCGAACATTATGCAAACATCGCTAATGTATTAGTAGCGAAAATCCAGTTGAATCTCATCAAAAATCGTTAGATCTTGAACATAAACATTCACAAACACAAAAATATAAAAAAACTTGAAAAAATATCGGAGGTGTGATGATCTATCCCTTGATGCTTTGGGCGCGTGGCAAGAAAGCTAGCCACAGTCGGTCAGTCGCGCACATTGCGGTAATTATTCATTTAATCATAGAAAATAAATAGTCCCAGTATTAAATTCTCTTATGAATAAATGTCTATGAATAAAATGCCATATAGGAATAGTATAATTGCATAAGAAATTAAAATTCCTGTAAGAATTCCTATAGCATTTGAAAATGGTGAAAAAATTCCTATAAGAAATGTCTCTGGCTTTGTTTATCAACTGGAGGCCATAATTTTTATCCGTGTAATGAAACTGTGGGAATAGTTACAGTTTTTCTTCACGTCTGCGCACAGGCGGCCCAATCTTACCCTGTGTTAATAATTACGTTATATCTTTATATAAATAGTATATTGAAAATCATTGGAAAATCCAGTGTTATTAATTTATTGCGTTATATCTTTATATAATAGTATAATGAAAAGCACTTACATGTGTTTCTTGAAAGATTTTAACGAGAACCGGCAAAGATTGGCGTTGACAAGAGGTTAACGGCCATAGTTGGGGTTGACATGAAGATTAACAGCAAGAAATAATACAAGGCTGGTCACTTTAACCGTTAATTGGACTAATTGGGACAAACGCTGACAGAAATCAATCGAATAACGCAAACTTCGGCTGTCGCATCCTCGCCAAAAGTCTTCAAATCACATGGAGAACGCTAATATTTCAACACTGTTTTGAGCGACCTTCTTATATACACCTTCGCTGAAACGTTTGTGTCAATTACTCAAAAGAATTTAGAGTTATTCAAGTTCTAGCACTTTTTCGACCAATTTAGCACTTTTTCGGCCGACTTCTGGCAGAGGTTTGGCTTTGTGCTTTTTTCGCCTGCGCAACGTCCACACAACGGTTCGATACGGTAAGCGTTATCTCAAAGCGCCATTTAAAGCTCATTGAAACCTCTGCGGAGGAGAAAGGGGGAAGGTAACTTCCAATTTCCTTGACGGGGTAGGTTTGATTATTTTCTGGAATGATCCAACCTCGGCTCGGTTCCAGCCGTTCCCTCTTGGAGGGAACGGCTGGTCGCATGCAGTGCGTACCGTGTCTGATCACGTGTTATTACTAATTCCAATATGCGATATTCCGCATAAATTATAGAATATTTATGGATGAGTGCAATGATACAAGTCATTACTAAAATAGCCAGAAATGCTTGCCAGGTTGGAAAAAGAACGCGTAAATTGATTGAATGACATCCGAGAACTTAAAAAATACACCATGTAAATTAGTATCTGTTCCTGGATGTTTTGTTTGTTCTACTGATGTTGAAAATGTAAAATATCGCACGAAAATCGTAGGGAGAACACGGGAATTGCTGGAAAATGTTTGTGATATTTTGTGTATCGCTAAAGAGGAAGTGCCATGCGATAAATATTTGTGCCGTTCATGCCTGAGACAAGTTAACAAGTGCACCAAACTACAACAAGAAATTGAGGATTGTAAAAGTCATCTCAAGAAAGTTTACTTAAGTGAGAATGAGAGATTTAAACGGTGTTTTATACCCACCGACGCAGAAACATATCCACAAACAGCCCCCTCAAAGAAATCGGCTAGGCCTTCAACTATCAACAACGTTGAACCAAAAAACTTAGTTTTAAAAGGAACGAACTTCCAAATGAGCAAACTTCACATCGAGATCAAAATCCAATGTAAAAATGCTACTAAGGATCTGTCTGGTGTTCCAAATCAACGCGCGTCTGAACTTTCGAGCTCAGTTTCGTTCAATAACAAAGACCTTCCAGGAGCAATTTGTGAAGTGCAGGTAATAATTAGTAAAGTGTTAAATTTTACTATTAAAAGTGTTACTATTAACTATGAAGAATTATATAATTGTTACTGTAATCAATTTTCCCGCCGTAATTTTTTATACGTTTTATTGTTGACAGATATCTGTTGTTTACGAAAGTAGCACGAAAATTACAACCTTAAAACCAGAACTTCATCCGCTAGGTAAGGCGCTGGCCAGGAAAAGTAGTAATAAATCTATTGTTGAAGCTGTCATGGATAATCCTGAACTCAAGGACTACGTGTACGAGTACGTGTGTAAGAAAGTGTTTGAGGAATGTAAAAGAATATGTTCAAAGAAGCAGTCAATAATGCGAAAACCAACAAAACTTGTGAGTTGAAAACAAAAGCTTCACTTTTTGATATTATTAATATGTGACTGCTTTTAATACATTACACATGGAATTGGTATCGTCATGAATACAGATGTTTATATATTTGTAAAGTTCAATTAACTACGAAAACGTACGTCTTTTCGGAGTGTTGCCTTGAAATTAACAACTTGTTGATTTCACTAATTGTTTATATTTGGATATTAACTTTACATGTAAGAAAACATTTTAAAAATATAATTTGAAAGATAAGAAGAAAAATTGATACATTATGTGATCATTGATTATCGATGGAAGTCGTATGGATAGTCTGACATTACAGCTGTTTTGTAAATTCATAGAATTCCATATCATTATAAAATAGTTAATTGGAAAAATTATCATGTTTATTTTAGTTTATTAAAAGTTATGACATATGCTATCTAATCATACTCAAATCAGTTCAGTTTATGCTCACGTTTATCGTTAGCATGCAGTTGGCTTGTCACGTTATGCCTTCCTTATGGTGTTTAAAACGTATGGATGTCAGCCATATAAACGACTGTCATGTTGTTTTACACTTTTAGGGGTTTATTCGGCTTAACCACCTTGGTATATAAACGATGTCTCCAAAAAGTATGGGGAAATTGTTGGATGAAATTGGTGTTGATCATGATGGCAAACTAGAAGAATGGAAGGATAATATACAGGATTATTTTTCGAACATAATTACTCTTCAGAAGACGTTAGAAACACTTAAATCTCATAAAGCAGCTGTTGAAAAAGAGAAGCTAGAACCAGTGATTGTGAAAGGTAGGCCATTCAGATATACAGTAAATCTTAATTTTGTGAATAATCTAATGATAGATTATAGGTTATTTTGACAAGTCACAACTCTAAATTTTTTTCATAATTAATTTGTAACATGTAATAAAAATATTTTGAGGGACCCTAGATTTCAAAATTCCCTGGCGGGAAAGCATGTCCTCATAGGGGCATAGACGCTCATAGGGGCATAGAGTGGCTCACACCTTTTGCACTCAACATTCACCCTCAAAAAACTAGGGCCCTATCTACACCACTGCTAATCAGAATACAAATTTTGTCTCTGGTTGCAGATAAGTTGATGGAATATGATTTGAATATAAAACGATGTGAGAGAAATTTGGGAACTGGAACGCCCACCAAGTTATTAATAATAACATTTAATATCCATCTTTGGTTAAAAAAGTACAATGGATTTACAAGAAGTGCTAAGGTTAAAATTGATAAGAAGAAATTTTACTATTATTTATATCAATGTTGCTAAAAATGTTTATACTAGTTATATATTCTATAAAATTAATTTAGGACTGTTTTAAAAGGGATATAGCTCTAGGTATAAAGGATTGCCGTTGTCTTTTAGTATACGATACAACATATGGTAGATTATTTGTTGTTCTTAGATCGTGTTCATGGGTAAAAGGTTGGGGGATAAGTTTATTACATGGGTTGGTCGGATCACTTAGAATTCTTTGGTATTCCTTAACAGTTAGGTGTGCCCTTCTTTGTTCTAGCGTTTCAAAGTTGCACCGAGATGTGCCAAGGATTTTGATGCATCTGTTTTGAATGCTCTCTATTTCATCAATGAGATATTGTGGTAAACCACCCCATATCGGAGCTGCATATTCTAAAACAGGTCTAATTTTGGATTCATAACATGTAATACCGACCTCAGGAGGAAGATTCGCCCTACGGCATTCTCTCAGACTAAACATTCGTTTATTTGCTTTACTTTCAATGTTCTTGACATGACAGTTCCATTTCAAATTGTTTTGATGCCAGACACCCAACAGTTTATGAGAATTTACTCTTTCCACTACCTCGTTTCCAATGACCAATGGTTCTGGTGCCGGTATTGCTGTGTTAAAACATATCCACATATCTTGTACCACATATCTTGTACTGCTTCAAGGGCCTCCTGCATATGGCTAGATGAACCTGGTGACACCACTTCGTCCTGTGTACAATCATCCGCGTATTTGCATATGTTTATGGATAATCCATCTGAGTTCTCAATATCGTTAATGTGAATATTAATTGTCCTTGATAATTTTGAAATTCAATTGTCCTTGATAATTTTGACATAATGGCCCACTCTGCTGATATGACATCAGATAACCAAAATAAAGATTATCACTGGTGCAACCACAATGCAGTGTTAGATAGAATAAATCCAATTGAAGATGATTGTAAGCCAAAGCAAAGTCTATCTGATACACCGAACATCACATTCGTACCTAGTTTGAAAGAGAAATCCGAAATTATTAATGACTTTCATGGTAATCATGGTTGCTAGGGTTCTGGTTGAGCATTTCAATGAGTTTCAATCGTTTAAGAATGTTGTTCCAAAGCATATAAAGCATAAATACTGGGAAGAGATGAAGAAAAAATCTGAAAAGGTTAAAGAATGTATTTGTACATTAGTACGTTCTATTTTATGCCATTTTCTCGAGTATGGCTACATATTAACTCATTAAGTGCCAGTGCTCTACCCTTGACAAGTAAAATCATCTAGCGTTAGACAGAGTGAAATAATAAAGTAGGGCTCATCAGGGCGCAATGAGACTCATTGCATGGGTTAACTAGACACATGGTCAGATATGCGAGTTTAACCATTAAGCGCCATTGCTCTCCCTTAGCCTTGACAAGTTTAATCGTTTGGATCTTCGGTGTAGAAATTTCAATTGGATAGGGTAGTGTCAAAATGGTATTCCTGTTCTAATCAGACATACTATTATGTTTTAATAGAGTCAAGCATACAATGATTAATGATGTTGGACACTGCAATTTTTAATTGTTTGGCAGTAAATAATAACTCGATCACATGCTGCTCCCTGTTGTTCAACCTCTGC